CATACATACATACACACACACATTTTACGGCTGTGACGTCTAGAACATATTACATCACGAAAACAAATAAACGGAATTATTATAAATATCATCAGCTTACCCAATAAAGTCACTGAACGTCCAAATGGTGTTCTCGTACGAAACTGATGTTACAAACGTCAGTGGTGTGGTTATATACTTGCTGTGTTGATAAAACCGGTCAAATATCCAGACACCCCAGGTAACCGGTCTGATCACCAGACACCTGGGTAACCGGTCTGATCTCCTGACATCAGGACACACGCTGGTCGCTTCCCCTAATTAATTACAACAGCAGCTGCACACCGCGCCCACAAGCATTGCCGTAAAACTTGTCTCTCTCAGGCTTGGTGCTTAAGTGCCATTCACACTTCGCAGGGATGCTGACTGTTATTTCTACCATAACAGGACTAAACAGCTTTGTATACAAACACTAACGAGAAAACACTGTATACATAATGTTTTTACACGCACCAAGCAATACCAGATCTTTGACATCCAGCTTTTTGAACTCTGAGCTCCTCGCAACTCCCTGCAACCCTTTATATCGCATCACAATTATATTAGAATAACAACAACGCTTGACGACACCTACAAACCATATTTTACAACTGCGTAAGTAATTAAGGTCCGGGTGTATGAGAGTTTTTTTAAGCCATCTTGTGGTTGATTAAGAGATGACTATAATGATGGAGATATAGCGTAGCTTCGTTTTCACAGCTCACTCGGCTGTTGGTACGCCGCCTGATTTTCCGTATGGACTTTCCGTGTGTTCATATCCCAAAGCGTTACATTTTCATTGTAGAATAAGGTCTTTTAAGCCCAGGGTTTGCGCAGTGTCGTCATACACTGTAGATTTGATTTACACTAAGTTACGATGTAATTTGCGTTTCTGAAGTAGAAGCTATATTTGGTCAGTGTTACGTACGTGTTCGTCAGACGTACGTCACGACAATGTACGACCACTGACTGGGGGCGGGGCTAAGCGCAGGGGTATGTGAGAGTGAGGGGGTGCGGGCGCGGGGGGTTGTGTAACTAGGAAGTCGTGTGAGCGTGGGGTGATTAGCGTCGGGGTGTCTTGTGTGAGCAGGGAATGGGGTCGTGTGAGCGCGTGGTGGGGGAGGGTCACGCCTCCTGCTGCGGACTGGGTGGGGGGATGCAGTACGCACGTGATTGTCCACGATGAGATGTACCTACGTATATATGTCATAGATATGTGTATGTGTATTATGTACTACTTGTGCCCGTGTATCTGAGAGACTGCTGCCAGAAACACTCTGGCCAGGGAACCCTGCCGGCTAGGGCGTCGTACCCTCTTTTAACAGAGCCATGGCGATAAATATTTATCGCGGAAATCTAGTCTTGGGTAGCCCGGCCCCATTTGAAATATATTTTAAAATCAAAATATGAATGATTCAGTCAGCTACTGCGCATGCGCGTATCCTGATTTTCGACTATTTAGCATAGGAAAATACTAGAATACTTGTTAATGTACCAGGCGGTAATATACTGGACGTGTAAATTAGATATTCAATTTGAGGCACGTTATCTGTCTACATTTCGTAGCAATTTGGTAGAAATTGTCTTGTCGTATGCGTAGGGCATAACTTTGCAGAATATTAATACATCTTAGGTGAATATAGATAACTAGACATGGGCGGATCCAACCAGAGTACGCACACACATGTACACATATTATATACACACACACGTACTCACGCACGCACGCACACGCGCACATTCGGGAGCACGTAGTACATAATACACATACATATATCTATTACATATAATACACGCACACACGAGCGCTGAACACACGCGCACAGTTGGGCGCACGTAATACAAATACATATATCTATGCTATATTTCTCGCAGCAGTCTAGCAGATACATGTACGTGTATATATTCGTCCAAACACTTGTTATGTTAACAGATACACGGCATATGCAACCCAGTATATTACCGCTTGGTACATTAGCAATTATTCTAGAATTTTATCTAGGCGGATTAGTCTAAATCAGGGTTCGCGCATGCGCAGTAGCTGACAGAATTATTCATATTTTGATTTTTAAGTATATATAAAATGGAGCCGAGCTATCCACGGGTAGATTTCTGCAATAAATATCTATCGCCATGGCTCTGGTAAAAGAAGGTACGACGCCCTAGCCTGCGGGGTACCCATGCAGGTCAGAGTGTATTTCGTAGCAGTCTCTCAGATACATGTGCGTGTATAAATTCGACCAAATGCTCGTTATTTTAACAGATATTGGGCATATGATATCCAGTATATGACCGTCTCGTACGTCAGTAATTATTCTAGAATTTTATCTATGATGAGTAGGCTAAAATCAGGGGTCGCGCATGCGTAGTAGCTGACTGAATGATTCATATTGTGATTGTAAAATGTATTTGAAATAAGGCCAGGCTACCCACGAGTAGATTTCCGCGATAAATATCCATCGCCATGCCTCTGGTAAAAGATGGTACAACGCCCTAGCCTGCAGGGTAGCCCAGATAGAGTGTTTCTGGCAGCAGTCTCTCAGATACACGTACGTGTATATGTTGTCCAACAAGTCGTTATTTTAACAGATACTGTGGGCATATGCAACCCATTATATTACCGCTTGGTACATTAGCAAGTATTCAAAAATTGTACCTATGCTGAATAGTTACAAATCAGGGTTCGCGCATGCGCAGTAGCTGACAGAATGATTCATATTTTGATTTTAAATTATATTTGAAATAAGGCCAGGCTACCCACGATTAGATTTCCGCGATAAATATCCATCGCCATGCCTCTGGTAAAAGAGGGTATGATGCCCTAGCCTGCAAGGTACCCTGGTCAGAGTGTTTCTGGCAGCAGTCTCTCAGATACATGTACGTGTATATGTTCGTCCAAATAGTCGTTATTTTAACAGATACTGTGGGCATATGCAACCCAATATATTACCGCTTGGTACATTAGCAAGAGCGTTTCTCGCAGCAGTCTCTCAGATACACGGGCACACGTAGTACATAACCCACATACATATATCTATGACATATATACATAGCTATACATCACATCGTGGACAAACACGTGCGTACTGCACCGCCCCCTCCCCCCACAGTCCGCAGCAGGAGGAGTGACCCTCCCCCACCACGCGCTCACACGACCCCATTCCCGGCTCACACAAGGCACCCCCACGCTCAACACTCCCACGCTCAAACGACTCCCTAGTTACACAACCCCTCGCGCCCGCACCCCCTCCCTCTCACATACTCCTGCGCTTAGCCCATCCTCCCGGTCAGTGGTCGTACATTACAGTCTCAGGAACCCGTATGTAACACTGACCAAATATAGCTTCTTCTTCAGAAACGCAATCTACATCGTAACTTAGTGTACATCAAATCTACAGTGTATGACGACACTGCGCTAACACTGGGCTTAAAAGAGCTTATTCTACAATGAAAATGTAACGCTTTGGGATATGAATTAACGGCTTTAAGGTCCACACGGAAGATCAGGCGGCGTACCAACAGCCGAGTGAGCTGTGAAAACTTGAGCTACTCTATATCCCCATCATTATAGCCATCTCTTAATCGGGCACAAGATAGCTTAAAAAGACTCTCATACACGGACCTTAATTACTTACGCAGTTGTAAAATATGGTTTGTAGGTGTCGTCAAGCGTTGTTGTCATTTTAATATAATTGGAATGCGATATAAAGGGTTGCAGGGAGTTGCAAAGAGCTCAGACTTTAAGGAGCTAGATCTCAGAGATCTGGTATTGCTTGGTGCGCGTAAAAACATTATGTACACAGTGTATTCTCGTTAGTGTTTGTATGCAAAGCTGTTTAGTCCTGCTGTGGTGTGTAACTAGGAAGTAGTGTGAGCGGGGAAGGGGGTCGTATAAACGCGTGGTTGGGGAGGGTCACGCTCTTACTGCGGACGTAAGGGGAGGTGCAGTACGCACGTGTTTGTCCACGATGAGATGTAGCGTGTATATATGTCATAGATATATGTATGTGTATTGTGTACTACGTGCGTCCGAGTGTGCGCGTGCGTGTATATATGTGTACATGTGTGCGCGCGTGTGTGTGTGTGCGTGTGCGTGATCGCGTTTGTTGGCGTGCTCATGTAAGTGTAAGTATATATATTCACAAGTAAATTCCAAATGAGATATAACGCACCTTTATAGTCATTAGTCAAATAAACTCAGATAAGTAATTTAAGTTATTTAGTGAAGCATCTACTGTTGCTATGGCGACAGGAAACATGGCACGTGAAACTCAATTTAATTTCCGTGTCTACACCAGACCATTGTTCTGTAGTCGCCGGCTCGCGATTGTCACCAGATTTGGATTTGATTTGGATTTTCCATTGATATTAGATCATATGATGATGATTAGATAATATGATTTTTAATTAATTTGATTTTAGATTGATATTAGATCATATGATGATGATTAGATAATATGATTTTTAATTAATTTGATTTCAGATGTTGACGGATTAGACTCACAATTTTAAGTATGAATCCGTAACGTTGTTAAAGGACGCGTCTGTATGAAATGCGGTGAGAAAACCCGTGCGTACGTGCGTGCGTGCATGAGAACACCCGTGCGTGCTCATTCCTCGTGTAGCGCAATGCCAATAAATTCTGTATCATTAGGTTTGTAATCGCTCGTAAACAACGTATGATTGATTAATTGTAAATATAGCAGATCGGTAGCGACTATTTCGTGGAAATTCGCGTGTGTGCGTGCGCTTGTTTGTGGGCGTCCGCATGTACATGTCGTGGAAATTCGCATGAGGTTTTTACACGATCACGTACGTCTGTGGCTGTCTCGATACCTCCAGGTAGGTCGTCGTCATCGGCGATCCGGGGGGAGGGGGTTATGTAATTCGACCATATAGTCATAGCGTTAAAATTTGTCGTTGTAGCTTATTTAATTAATTATTTGCGTTGGGAAAGCTACATTGGTCACCAACGATGTCTGCTAATCCTTCCAGCACGGAATATGGTCCCCTAGACGTAACGCGGCCATGATCCCGAGGCGCTAGCCGAGGATTGACACTTTGTGTCTTCCAATCACAGTCTACGCCGCCCCCTTATATACTAACTTCCAGCTATAATACCTATAATATATATATATATATATATTCATATATAATTAATACATATAGATATATATCTCTTAAATATATCTTGACATAAAGTAATCAACTTCTATACATGCTGAATTGTGCGCACACGGACCCCAGATGGGTCGTCTTACTAACGAATTACCTAACGACGCGGCTTTACCGTCGCCGCACACATAACGACACACACACAGTGGCGATGTCTAGGGGACCATATTCTGTGCTGGAATGATTAGCAGACATCGTTGGTGACCAATGTCGTTTTCCCAAAGCAAATAATTATTCAAATAAGCTACAACGACAAATTTTAACGCTATGACTATATGGTCGAATTACATAACCCCCTCCCCCCTGATCGCCGATGACGACGACCTACCTGGAGGTATCCAGACAGCCACAGACGTACATGGTCGTGTCAAGACTTCATGCGAATTTCCACGAAATAGTCGCTATCGATCTGCTATATTTACAATTAATCAATCATACGTTGTTTACGAGCGATTACAAACCTAATGATACAGAATTTATTGGCATCGCGGAAGCTAACACGCCACGGCGCACGCTACACGAGGGATGAGCACGCACGGGTGTTCTCATGCACGCACGCACGTACGCACGGGTTTTCTCACCGCATTTCATACAGACACGTCATTTAACAACGTTACGGATTCATACTTAAAATCGTGAGTCTAATCCGTCAACATCTGAAATCAAATTAATTAAAAATCATATTATCTAATCATCATCATATGATCTAATATCAATCTAAAATCAAATTAATTAAAAATCATATTATCTAATCATCATCATATGATCTAATATCAATCTAAAATCCAAATCAAATCCTAATCTGGTGACAATCGCGAGCCGGCGACTACAGAACAATGGTCTGGTGTAGACACGGAAATTAAATTGAGTTTCAGGTGCTATGTTTCCTGTCGCCATAGCAACAGTAGATGCACACACTAAATAACTTCAATTACTTATCTGAGTTTATTTGACAAATGACTATAAAGGTGCGTTATATCTCATTTGGAATTTACTTGTGAATAGCACGCCCCAAACGCGATCACGCACACGCACACACGCGCGCACACATGCACACATATATACACGCACACACGCACGCGCACACTCGGACGCACGTAGAACATAATACACATACATATATCTATGACATATATACACGCTACATCTCATCGTGGACAAACACGTGCGTACTGCACCTCCCCTTATGTCCGCAGCAAGAGCGTGACCCTCCCCAACCACGCGTTCACACGACCCCATTCCCCGCTCACACGACTTCCTAGTTACACACCCCAGCAGGACTAAACAGCTTTGTATACAAACACTAACGAGAATACACTGTGTACATAATGTTTTTACGCGCACCAAGCAATACCAGATCTCTTACATCCAGCTCCTTAAAGTCTGAGCTCCTCGCAACTCCCTGCAACCCTTTATATCGCATCCCAATTATATTAAAATGACAACAACGCTTGACGACACCTACAAACCATATTTTACAACTGCAAAGTAATTAAGGTCCGTGTGTATGAGAGTCTTTTTAAGCCATCTTGTGGCCGATTAAGAGATGGCTATAATGATGGGGATATGGCGTAGCTCAAGTTTTCACAGCTCAATCGGCTGTTGGTACGCCGCCTGATCTTCCGTATGGACTTTAAAGCCGTTAATTAATATCCAAAAGCGTTACATTTTCATTGTAGAATAAGCTCTTTTAAGCCTAGCGTTTACGCAGTGTCGTTATACACTGTAGATTCTATGTACACGATTCTAAGTTACGATCTAGATTGCGTTTCTGAACAAGAAGCTATATTTGGTCAGTGTTACGTACGTGTTCGTCAGACGTACGTCACGACAATGTACGACCACTCACCGGGGGGGGGGGTGAAGGTGTGGGGGGAGGGGTGCGGACGCGGGGGGTTGTGTAACTAGGAAGTCGGGTGAGCGTGGGGGTGGTGAGCGTGAGAGTGTCTTGTGTGAGCGGGGAAGGGGGTCGTGTGAGCGCGTGGTGGGGGTAGGGTAACGCCTCCTGCTGCGGACTGGGGTGGGGGGAGCGGTGCAGTGCGCACGTGTTTGTCCACGATAAGATGTAGCTATGTATATATGTCGTAGATATAATATGTATATACGTTATGTACTACGTGCCCCCGAGTGTGCGCTAGTGTGTGCGTGTATATATATACCATAGATATATGTATGTGTATTATGTACTACGTGCGCCCGAGTGTGCGTGTGTGTGTGTGTGCGTGCGTGATTACGTGTATATATGTGTACATGTGTGTGCGTGCGACTGTTTGTGGGCGTGCGCATGTATGTGTAAGTAGATATGTATTCACTAGTAAGTTCCAAATGAGATATAACGCACCTTTATAGTCGTTAGTCAAATAAAGCAACAGTAGATGGTTCACTAACTAACTTCAATTACTTATCTGAGAAATGGCGACAGGAAACGCGGCCCCTGAAACTAAACCTACTTTCCATGTAATCTATACCCGACTATTGCTCTGTAGTCGCCGGCTCGCGATAGTCACCTGATTTAGATTTGATTTAGATTTTAGATTGATATTAGATCATATGATGATGATTAGATAATATGATTTTAAATTGATTTGATTTTAGATGTTGACCGATCAGCGTCCGTATAAATTTCGGCGCGAAAACCTGTGATCGCGTGCGTGCGTGAGAAAACCCGTGATCGCGTGCGTGCGTGAGAAAACCCGTGCGCGCGTGCGTGCATGAGAAAACCCGTGCGCGCGGGCGTGCGTGAGAAAACCCGTGCGCGCTCATTCCTCGTG